ATCTTCAAACGCGAATTGCCGGTGAACGGGACGTCGGAAGTGGGTACCGTAAAAGGGAATGTGGTAGCCCGCGACACGATCTCACTGATGGTGGAGTCAAATCTTCAAACGCAAATTGCTGGTGAACGGGACGTCGGAAGGAGGTACCGTCAAAGGGAATGTGGTAGCCCCCGACACGATCTTCCTGATGGTGGAGTCAAATCTTCAAACGCGAATTGCGGTTGAACGGGACGTCGGAAGTGGGTACCGTAAAAGGGAATGTGGTAGCCCGCGACACGATCTTCCTGATGGTGGAGTCAAATCTTTAAAAGCGAATTGCGGGTGCACGAGGAAAGTGGGAAGCGGTTAGTGAATGTAGTATCCTTCGACAAGATCTTCCTGATGGTGGAGTCAAATCTTCAAACGCGAATTGCGGGTGAACGGGACGTCGGAAGGGGGTACCGTCAAAGGAAATGTGGTAGCCCCCGACACGATCTCCCTGATGGTGGAGTCAAATCTTCAAACGCGAATTGCGGGTGAACGGGACGTCGGGAGTGGGTACCGTAAAAGGGAATGTGGTAGCCCGCGACACGATCTCACTGATGGTGGAGTCAAATCTTCAATCGCGAATTGCGGGTGAACGGGACGTCGGAAAGGGGTACCGTCAAAGGAAATGTGGTAGCCCCCGACACGATCTTCCTGATGGTGGAGTCAAATCTTCAAACGCGAATTGCGGGTGAACGGGACGTCGGAAGGGGGTACCGTCAAAGGAAATGTGGTAGCCCCCGACACGATTTTCCTGATGGTGGAGTCAAATCTTCAATCGCGAATTGCTGGTGAACGGGACGTCGGAAGGAGGTACCGTCAAAGGAAATGTGGTAGCCCCCGACACGATCTTCCTGATGGTGGAGTCAAATCTTCAAACCCGAATTGCGGGTGAACGGGACGTCGGAAGGGGGTACCGTCAAAGGAAATGTGGTAGCCCCCGACACGATCTTCCTGATGGTGGAGTCAAATCTTCAAAAGCGAATTGCGGGTGAACGGGACGTCGGAAGTGGGTACCGTAAAAGGGAATGTGGTAGCCCGCGACACGATCTCACTGATGGTGGAGTCAAATCTTCAAACGCGAATGCGGGTGAACGGGACGTCGGAAGTGGGTACCGATAAAAGGGAATGTGGTCGCCACGCCGACACGATCTCACTGATGGTGGATCAATCTTCAAACGCGAATTGCTGGTGAAACGGGAACGTGGAGGTACCGTCAAAGGAAATGTGGTAGCCCCCGACACGATCTTTCCTGATGGTGGAGTCAAATCTTCAAACGCGAATTGCGGGTGAACGGGACGTCGGAAGTGGGTACCGTAAAAGGGAATGTGGTAGCCCGCGACACGATCTCACTGATGGTGGTGTCAAATCTTCAATCGAGAATTGCGGGCGAACGGGACGTCGGAAGGGGGTAACGTCAAAGGAAATGTGGTAGCCCCCGACACGATCTTCCTGATGGTGGAGTCAAANAGAGCTATTCAGAAAGTAACACACGTTTTGAAATAAAAAATTAAGAAAGTGCAAGAAACAACTTTTATTATATACATTTGGAAGCTACATTCTTAGGCTATTTTTCAACATATTCATATTGAGGCATTTATTATAGCGTGGTACAAGTGGTTTGATTTCAACTTTGTATACATCCACCGCCTGAGAGTTTAACCACTGATTATCGCCGGCTTGAAGTTCGGCAGCCCCGTCCATGAGCTGTGTTGCGAGCGAGGTCTTCACGTTGGGAAGAGGTGGAAGTCGCTTGCACTAGACCCGAGCTGTAGGGAGGGTGATCAAAAATCTCCCATCCAAAATCATCCAAGAGTTGTCCAATACGGTTGACTATGTGCGGGTGGCCGTTGTCGTCGAAAAACAAAACTTCCACCTCTTCCGAGCGATGAAGACCTGGCTCGCAACGCAGCGGTTCGACAGGGACGCCGAACTTTATGTTGGCGTTACCTAGTGCAGGTTAAAATCTCAGGCGGTGGCAGGATTATACAAAGTTGGAATCAAAACGCTTGTGCCTCAATTTGAATGGCGCTTGTGTTGATAAATAGCCCTAGAGTGCAGCTCCTAAATGCATATAATAAAAGGTTTTCTGTACAATTTTTTATTTCAAAACGTCTATTACTTTCTGGGCAACCCTCTTTCCATTCGTTAGGGTAAGTAGGTACCTTTATGCCACAGCTCATTAAATAGTTTTAATAATGTCCATTTAGTGTCAGGTGTGAGGTTATTCAACATTTTTCGTCACAGATCTCATCTGAAGCTGAACCCATTTCGCATGACAAACTCTAGTTCCTCAAATGTGAACAGCCCATTTTACTCTAACCTGTGGTAACTATCGAACTAACTTCTCTTTCGTTCTGTTACAGAAGACAAAGACAGGTCGGTAATTGACGGAACTGCTGTCATTTTGTAATCTACCAGCCAGTATAAATTCACAATTTCTTCTTCATCTTCTATAACTACATTATTAAGTTGTAGAGAATTAAATACTAAAACTGTAAAGTATATATTTTTGTACATCAGTATACTTATGACGTAAATATTCATATGATAAATGCTTATTTTACTTAAAATTAATATTGCACAAAATACTATTACAAGAGGACAATTTCCCCTTTTAATACAAAAAATTTAAGTACTGACCAAAACAGTTGTAGAAAGGCTGCGAAAATATAAAAGCAAATCATCTGGTATGTTCTCTGGTATTTTTAAAAGTTTGAGTAAGCAAGATATTTTATACCCTATGAAGGGATACCCAGACCATTTGCACCACATTTGCCACGCCTTAACGCTCAGCCAGGGGGCGTTATAGCACAGTGGTGCAAACAGTCATTATATTTTCAACACTATCAGGACAAACTAAACATATAACATGCCAAAAATCACTTTGTAAGTAGTGTTTGAAGTCTGTTACTGTTTGTTACAATCGAAATTGACTATTACGTTATTCATACCTGCGAGTAACCGAGTATAAGATTAAAAAAAAAAGACTAAGACGAGGAGACAAGAATTGATGTCCCTATATAAAGTATTACCATAGCATAGCACAAACTAAAACTGTTTCTCGATAACTACTAAAAATATCACTTAATCTCCAAACTTGGTGGTTAAGTAATGGTGGGCATAATCGTAAACGACTAGCATAATGGCACCACCTGGTCCTAAACGTAGCACTTTGGGTAGAAGTCCTTTGTACAGCGCGCGAAAGCTGAAATTATAGCGCGTTAGACATATGAAAATAGAACAAGCTACTTAATAGAAAGAAGAGTAAAATATTGCATTAGGATTATTGCAATTGATGGTACTTACAGATTGGGAAATAAATAGAAAATTAACAAAATAAGTGTCTTAAGGGCATGCTTCCAGGATTTATCCGTCCATAAAAGCTGTGGTAGCTAGGTCTATCTCTTAGCAATATCTTTTGAAACCATATGATGATCAGTGCTTTTGCTATTCACCTTACATTAAATAAATACAAATGTGTTAGAGAGGAGGAGGAGATTGACAACTTCACAAGACTACTTGAAGGGTGGAATTGACAGAATTGTACTGAAAATACTTACCCTTCTTCTCTGTACACTATTCCCATAGATCTTAAAGTGCCTCTATACTTAATTTGTCCCTGTACTGGTTGTGGTCCCTGAATTCTCGATTTCGCAACATCAAAAGGTATATTTGCGCACGAACCTAATGTTCCCGAAACGAAGCCGATACCCACCTTCCGACAGAATTCCCAAACTGGATCCTGAGAATCAACACGAGGTTAAAATCGAATTCCTGAGATAAATGCGCTTACTTCGTACTCAGGTAGGTATCCTTTTACTGAATGATAAAAACCGAAATAAACCATGTTAAACACTCCATTTCTAGCAATTGTAGCCGTAACCCCCTTATTTAATCCCTTAAAGCCGAGACCGTGCTCCTTGACTATCGCTCTGGTAACGGCCCATGTGCTCGGTAACTCCTTCCCAGTTGCGCGATTGGCTTGTAATGTTACTTTGACCACCTCAAACGGATTGACTAATATAGCTTCAGTTGTGCCCGCTCCCAAGCCGGCCAATGAGAATGTCTAGAACAACAATTAATACTAGCAACGAAAATACAGTTTATAAGTGGTGAGAGTAACTTGTGCTTTTATTTATTTTATCAATACATTTCTAACGAAAAGTGTAGTAGAAGGCCTAGGTAGACAGATAGTAAGTAATGTTTATTAATGCTCAATGTCACTAGAGTATTTGATGGACTTCTTTAGCCCTATTTTTTTATGACCAATAAACTATCCATCTATTAGAAAAAGTTTATTGTTATTGCATCTCAAAATGCAATTGTAGCAAATACAAATCACACGTTAAATTATACAGCCGTTTTTATAAAGTAAACCTGATCTTTTCAATGCATGTACATACATACAGTATACTCTCTATGCTAATGTAATGACTGTAGCCCTGTATACAAGTCCTTCAGAATCAAATCTGTATACCTATGGTAGGCATCAATTAGGAATAAATACTAGAGGTGTGTTGTTGTAGGACTTGTAGGTAGGTAGGTTACAGAACTTTTATATAAATCCCTCCTAGGCGCCACGGTGCGAAGTCTAAATATTAAGTGGAAATGTGCTATTATAAACTAGGTACTATTGTTAACATTAATTTCGTCCAAATGCAATTTTTTAACAGCAACAAAATTTCTCACGAATTATCTTGTGGTCGTGCGCCTCCCAGGAGAATCTGCTTGAGACGACCAACCACAAGGTAATTCGTGACGCGGGAGAACTGACTATCGGTTTCCCGCCGCACGTGGTACGATTCATAACCAATACTTCAAGAGCAATTAAAAAGTATCTGAAGAGTTTCGTAAGAGGAAGGACGTTTATTAAGCGGCAGAACAAAGTGATGCAAGCTTTATAGGGGAGTCGATGGTGTCCGTCTGTCCGTGAACACGATAACTGGCAAACGCTTGGACCGATTTGGTTCAAACTTGCACAGATGACCTATATGCCACAAGTAATAAGCCTATTGAAAATGGGTCAAATCCAATGACCCCGTGGGGTCACGCTTCTCTGTCCCTGCCAAACGCTTGAACCACTTCGGTTGAAACTTTGCACAGTAGACTTATATGCCACAGGTAACGAGCCTATTGAAAATGGGTCAAATCCAATGACCCCGTAGGGTCACGCCTCTCTGCCTCTGGCAAACGCTTGAACCTATTCGGTTCAAACTTTGCACAGTTAACATATATACCACATGTAACAAGCCAGTTGAAAATGGGTCAAATCAAATGACTCCGTGGGGTCACACCGAGGTGATCTGCCGCTTTTTTAAACGCTCTTTATGGGTTTATTACTTACGTTTTTATGTGTTCTTGCCACATATTAGCATTAACTTTCCACACGAAATAAAAATCAATATTAGTTTTTTTGTGCTACTTGTGCCAAAAAATCTCGCGAAAACACAGTTTCCTCATTCAATTTCTAGCGCACTCGTACAAACCGTACAGCTCGCCGACATTCCCTTACGTCGACTTTCCTTTAAAATAGCCTTACTATTCGTCGCACAATTACACTGACCACAATTTTAAACAATAGGTACTTTTCAATGTGTTGTGGTTTAATTAATGACGATTTAAATTTTCCTCTATTTGTGGTATACTAATCGCACAAAGTGCATGTAACGTCCTTCGATGTGAATATGCCGCTTTAAGTTTTGCTTATCGTGAGTAACACAATTACACTCTTCCGAAATTAAATGTTTGAGAAGGTTGTGTGTGTGTCAATAGGTGACGCCTGAAGCGAACGCTTACTTGTGGCGTAATTACAATGATTGTAGTGATACAAAGTAGTTCACAGCGAAGTGTGTCAACGAATGACGTATATATCTCCTATTTTTTGTGTAATTGCACTGTTCACAATTAAAGACATTGGAAATATTATGCACTAGACCACGATTTCTTAAATTATCCTTATTGTTGGTTGCATAGTTGCACTGATCACATTTAAAATTCTAGAAAGTAACGTCATAAAATGTGACGTTTTAAACTATCCCATATATCATCTCTATACTATCATATACTATACAGCCGTAAATACTACGATAATGATTACTTTTGGCGATTGTAAATAAACAAAATGGCGGTCTTATACCAACAATAGTAATTACAATGTGCTGCCACCAGAGGTCTAACTGTTAATCTGAATCCCAATTTGCACCAACAGAATGAAAGCAACAACCTAAATGGATTTGCACAGTATGTACCTACTACCATTGAATTTGTCCTACGTTAGCGAGAAATCACGCTATTTCTGTCCTAAACGCGAACAAAAACCTGCTTTATGTGTAGAAAACCTAAACAAAAAAAGAGTCATTCTTTAGCTTTTCTTAAAATAGAAGTTGATCTTAGTGGTAAATTTTGCTAATTTGAAGGTAGTGAATGTTGCCTTTACTTTGTGATAGCTCCTAGAATTGGTGTTTAATTTATTTGCATTCATTCACTTAGCCAAAATGCACCTATGTACGCATATAACTTCTCAACGACTGCACCACATTCATTGAACTATATACTCTGTAAGTATATAGTTCAATGACCACATTAGATAATTCTTTTTTTGTGATGTTTTTTATTATCCGGGCAAGTTTTGTATAAAAGATAATTTTCAAGAAATTGTACGGAAAGGCGTAAAACAACAAATTATCCCTTTTCCTGCATTGTAAATGGCAATATCACTAATAGATGGAGCCAAAGCGAGAGCTACCTACTCACAGAAATATACGCAGACTAGAACGGCAATAGGTAAGGATGTGCAAGAACAAAATTACGCTACTTTAATCTGTGTGAATCAGATCTTGGTGCACTTCTGAACTTGCGCGCATTACGTGTGAGCTTACAGAGCCGGTCACTGCATGTGTATATTACTGTGGATCCGGTCTTAATTCGGATCTTTTATATGAAGAAAATCCGAACCATCCGACCCTAATTATTGCACAATAAATTGCGGTAGTTGAATATGGTCTTACTACTGCGTAAACTCAGCAGTGCACCTGCGCGAAAAACAATTTGTGTCAGTTTATTTTCATTGCATTAGCATTCCATTTTATTAGTTCAGTGAATCTACTACGGCTCTAGAAGAATCCATAACGTCCACTTCAGGCGCGAGGAGAACGTTAAACGTATGAATTACATATGCCCGCGAAGGTTTCCAATGTAGAAAACGTAAGCGAGGTGAGGCGAGGCAGTCAATGATTGATAGATGATTCGAAGATCCCCCAGGTCTGCTAGTATTAAATAAAAATATGCTTTACCTGATGCCGCCGTGTATTTTATTGACCTGTTGCAGACGCCCAACCTCCAAATTTCAACCCATATGCGATGAGTGTAATTGTGGCGGGCACTGTAAAATAGCCATAGACCAGTCATTATACAGGGTGTTTCGAAATTCGCGCACACGGACTATGGGATGGTGTTATACGACAAAAACTGAACAAAAAGTTCCTCTGCCAGTTTTCCATCAGACCGCTATTTTTTCGAGCTACCGCGGTTTTAAAATCTCCGCCCCCCCCCCTTCGCTGCGCCACTGGTTAAACTTAATAACACATTTTTAAAAACAAAAGAAGGTTCAAAATAAACTATAATTATGACGAGTACGTAATTACAACAGTTATTCAAAATGTCCGCCGTCTGCACGTCGAAAAAAAAAGTACCGGTCTGATCAAAAACTGGTAGAGGAACTTTTTATTCAGTTTTCGTTGTATAACACCATCCCACAGTCCGTGTGCGCGAATTTCGGAACACCCTGTAGCTTAAAAATTACATGTTTATAAAAATCTGTCATCCAAGCAAGAAAATCCATACACAAATTCGTTGTTGCCGTCTTATTGCAATGTTATCAAGTCCCTCCAAAAAAGTTGTGCTCAAGCCGACATTTTAGAAACACTTAACCGTTGAGATTAGAAATTCTTTTCTAAACAAAACTTGTTTGTAATGTAATAATCTACATAATTTATTATTAGCATTTTTTTGTGTAAACAATGATAGCTGCCTAAAAGGACGTTGTACTTACAGTCTGTATACAAAATGTAAATAAATTCAATTATACTTGCGATATTGCTTCTGAAATCAGTAGACTTATAAATTGTTTGAATTATACTAACCAACAGCTGAGAATAAAATTTAGAACTACCTATATTAACATAGCAAAAACGGTTTAGTTGTTGGAACAGTAATTTGTCAATATTATATTTAATGAAATATTGAGAAGGGTTAACAACACGGCCATAGACTCAAATTTCAATAGGTTGTAGGCCCAAACTCTGAAGCACCTAAACATCACAACAATAAAATAGGTAATCAAGTTTTATTATCTTGCTCAGAGGTCTATTATCTCAATTAACGAAGAACATTTTGACAATTGGAAATTTCGTGGAAATGCTTTGTTGAAGGAAAGACAGGTTCAAAATGCGTTATATGGAGGGAATTGGCTGATGATTTTATTTTTATTTTATTTATTATCCCTCTCTTGTTCTGGGCCCTCAACAGGCTTGCGCCCAATTACAGAGTGAGTATCAAATACATTACGGATAAGCACTTAGACTCACTCAAAAGAAATCAAGGATGCTCTGGAACAAGTGTTCGAGAGGAAATCAGTGTTTACAAAGTTAATGGGTGTGGGTTCAAAGTATGATGACATTGTTTAAACAATTTGTTTATTTCTCATAGTTGTTATTTGAGAATATTTTATGTATGAAATGTCAAGGACCATCACCAATTTTCTTTCCATATATTTCAATTCAATTTTGTTTGTTTCATATGTACCACTTTTATTTACCTTAGTGATATTAAACATTTGCTTGTAACACTGTACTGTACATATTTTCCAAAACCCGTAGTTATTATTAAGATGAATGAAAAGAAAACAGCATGAATGTACTTATAACAAAAGATGTAGATAATTACTGAATAAAGAATTTTGTTAAATATAATTGAGACTCAATTGTTGAGTAATAAGTCAGAAACCGGTATTTTGGCCGCCATTTTTCAAAATGTCGACTTGAGCACAATTTTTTTTGGGGAATTTTATAAAATTTCATGAGAAGGCAACAATGAATTAATGTACTGATTCTCTTTTGTATGACAAATTTGTTTGAGAATATCTAAAGTGAGTGGACTATCAGTCCAAAGCAAGATAACTAAGTAGTGGGCATGTCCGCAGACCAGTAAGCACGAGTTAACTCGTCCTTGGCAGATAGCCAGTTAAATTAATAAATAATGTTACAACCTGTTTACATTAAACAAATTAAATAAAATATTTATTTAGTAATATTCTAAAGCAAATACTGCCAACAAACATTAAATGAATGGGAACCATTAATGAACTCACATTGGTCCCACTATTATTGAATTTATTTAGAATACAGTTCTTTCTTGCCCAATATCCTCCATTTGTGATTTTGAAAATAAGATGTTTTTCAGAATTTATTTAATCACAGTATTTATATACCAAATGGACTTTTACCTATCTGCACCCAGCTAAATTTAAACTCACATTCAACCGATTGCTTGGAATTAGGCCAACCATTTCACTTTTCATTTCTGATCATTATATTTATAAGAATTGATAACGATTAAAATAGAAACCTGAACTTTGTATTTAGGTACTATGTAAGGTACTTAACGAAATCTTACCAAAGGTGTGGGTGTGGGTGAATCAAATAAAAACAATTTTTTATACTGCTCAAATGTAAAAAACTAAAAAACACAAAATGAGTTTTAGTACGAGGGTGGCCCTTACCGTTGGTTTACTTTCACAGCCCGTTTAGGCGTCTCCGCGAGTATCGGAGGTATAATCCCCTTCCAAAACGACGTGAGACCCTCGTACTTGTACATCTTACGTATACAGTCGAAAATGCCCGAGTAACGGTTAGGATCGCTAACTTTACCCGTGGGTTTTCCGCTCTGTATTTGAAGGCGAGTCTTAATAAGATCGAGCGGGTGCATTATGCACACCTCCACGAAACCTGCAAGTACCAAATCAAATGGTGGGAAAAAAGGCTCAATACATTACCGGCAGATCCCCCGGCACCGATCTGTATTCCGGCTTCTTTTAGGATTTTTTTTATTTCCATGGTGATCAGTTTGCGTCGTCTCTAGCGGGTATAAAAAATATATCTGTGACCTAAAATAGTAAAATTTTTGAATCCATGCGATCAGCTGATCGAACACATTTGACAGATTAATTAACATTTTTGACGTATGTGTTGTTGTGGAATGAAAAGAAGCAACACAGTGAGTATGGAGAAAAAGGAAATGTATTTACCGTAAAAATGTAGTCCGTTACTTGCCGGTATCGTCGTTGATCTGTCGCTCTCATGACAAATACGAAGGTCGACACGGTAAATTTACTACCGCGGTGCGTGCGTGCAGCTGGCGCGTTAAGAAAGTTTTGTGTTGTTCATTCATTCCAAGATGGTGATTATCTTAATTTTTCGTTCGAATGCTGACACATTCCGCGTTAAATAGAAAAAATTGAGTTTTAATATGATAGATGAACCACGAATGGGGTCGCAAACGTTGGAAATTCTGAGGCAGGGAATCTGGGCTTCCTTAACTGGAGGGTGGTTTTATGACCCACATCAAGATGTATTTTGTAATACTTTTCACTTGTACCTCTGGTTATTACTGCTGTGTTTGCCTTTTTCCATTTATGTGGTAAGTTTATTTGCCCCTTTTTCTAAGATGTACATTGATGACCTAAATTTTTAGTACTTTCCACCTTCTCCAATAACATGGTACTTTTATTGCGGTATCGTGTCTTTAACTTTCACTGCCGTCAAATTGGTTAATTATGGACTTCATCATATGTATGATACCACCGAGTGCATACAGGAAGATGTCAAGGAAGAGGAGTGGAACATGGAGAAAAAGTAGGTTCAGTTGTGGTAACACATTTGTGGATTTGGATAATAATAATTATTAGGTACTCTTAAACCTAAAAGACAAAAGCATTGTCAAAATCCAAATGTTATAAAAAAGTTGCTCTTTGGTTTTGTGGTGCTGTTGTCATGAATCATGATGCAATTTGTTGACATTGTTGAATGCACTGTCTTTGTTTTGAAACAAAGACAGACTTTTATCGCATATTGTATCCATAGTCACTTCCCAATTTCTAAGGAGTAAGTAATTTGTAAGACTCATTATTGGTCGGTCTCGCCAAGAGGTTAACCACCTAAGCAACAAATGTCCAGGGATTCCCAAATTTTGGAAACTTTAGCAAGCTCGTTAGCAAATATTCCCAGCATTCTTTGATATTTGCGGATATTTTAAAATTATTTCCCGAGTATTTCCAGCTTATTATTATAAACTATTCTCAGGTGTTCCTACTTCGATATTTACAGTACAGTGCAATCTTGATAATCCGGCACGTTCAGTAATCCTGCATCTCTGGGACGACTACAAGATGTCATTTTTGATAAAATGCATCTAACCAAGAAACAAAAAAATTAATGATTATTTTTCATAGTGTGTAAAATTACATATTTGTGTATATTTTGTATTTCTTTGCCTAATTTGTAAGCATTTTTATTGCATGCACCTCGGTATGCACAGTCATATATTCATTGTAAAATTGGCGTGTTTTCTGTATTACTCTCGGTGTCCGATTATCAAGATTCTACGGTATTTTTATTGTATTACTATGTTATTTTTATGAAACGAACCAAAAACTAACTTTTTAGCAATCTCTCCTCTTGCAGGAAAAAAAAAATATTGAAAAGACTTTACGAGATAGTCGGTTAATTAGGTGGGTGCCGCAAGCACTTCATAAGGGTGCCGTGAAATTTTTAAATATTTACTTACTAAGCTTAAAATTACATAAATTAAAAAAGGAATTACCTAAAATGCCTAATTATAAAAAATGATTTATTTATATATATTTATTTATAATTTATTATGCATTACATCAGACTTTCTCAATCTTATAACATATTTGGGGTGCATATAGGGTGGTATGGGGAATCGAAAACGTTCTATTTTGGTTTTGATCCGTAACCATCTCCAAGGTTGTTGAGGGTGTCAAAATTTTTAAAGAATCATAACGGCTTGAAAAATTTTTTTGAAATTTTTTTCGTATACACTGACCAAAATGGCTTAAAAAACTACAAAAAAGTTCATTACAATTTTTTTGTGAGTTCCTATGTTTTTGAGAAGTTTGGATTGAAAAGCTAAACTATTTTATTTTTCTAAATTTCATTTTTCTCTAAAAGTAAGCATCAGAGTGAAAAATGTCAATTACAAAAAAGATGTGTTCTGATGAGGTCAACAAAAAAGTTTTCTACACTTTTTGCGTCGGGTTCAAAATAAAGGGCTAGAGGGCTATGGCCAAAGATAATTGCAATGACTATTAAAAGTAGTCGGAAAGTCAAGTCAGGAGTTTACCTGCTTAAATGCTTTTGCGTTTAAAATTTTTTTTTTAAAGACTTCTCATCCTTCATCTCTTTACTGACTGTAAAAAAGCAAAAAAATCTCGACTAGGGGTGTCGCGAATTTTGTTTAATAATTTTAGTGTGCCGCCAGACAAAAAAGTTTGAGAAACACTGGATTAGACCAAAGTTGCCTAATTATATTTGGGCCCAACAAAATGGCGTTTTAAAAAATTGGAAGTTCCCAATACTTCTCGAGACAAAATTTTAAAAAAATTTTGAAAAATAGCTTTATGCTTTACTTTTAAGAGTTTCGCAAAATATTGTTATGCTGACCGATTGCATTTTTGTGTTTGTGTAAAATTATGAAAACAAACAACTACATTGCGTTATCCGTTTTAAGATTTGCGAAGTTAAAGTAATTACCGACACGGTAATATTCAGTTTTGTCTACTAGTTTGTCTATTTCGTTCTGTATCATACAAATTTTGGTGCTTTTATCACTTTTAATTTTTCAAATTGGAATTTTAGAATGAGAGTACCAGATTTTTATGATGTAGCAAAATGACATAAAATTCATGGATATTGTCGTGGGTATTGTAATGTTTGTACCTTACCTATAGCTAATGACGTTATGAACCTGCCCCATTTGAAAACCCGTGAAATCAATAGATTGCAAACTTTTCTTCACCTCCTGAGGGGTTGCTATAGATCACAATGAAATTTTACGTCATTCTGTGGGAAGAAGCTTTCGTTTGACACTTTTTATTTTAATGAAACTACTCGTGGAACTAGATAGGTCCTTACTGACCGATCACCGCATTTTCATTAGCAATTGCCGTTGGAATTTTCTAAAACGCGAAAAAAGCAAAAAGAGATTTGATTTGGCCCAAAAAAGCACCAATATATCGATAGTCTCTTTTTTATTCAATCTCATCGATTAGGTTGGTAAATTAAGACTTCTCTATCGTGAGTTTATTTCGCACATATTCCCCCGAAAATGGACATACCATAAAAATTTCGATCAAATTTCTTTACAAATAAGAAAGTTGCGTTTTGCGCATGCACAGTGCGATTATTTATTTATTATTAATTTATTATCCAGTTTATTATGCTTAATATATTGCGTTACCCTTTAAGTAAAGGGCGATGGGTGTTTTGCGAGGTGTTTTGTTTGCTTTTAATAAAGGGACCTACCATAACAATTTGGATTAAATTGCTCTTCAAGTAAGAAAGTTGTCTATTGCGCATGCGTGCGCTATTTCGTTTACTTTATGTAACCTTTAAAACGTGTAAGGAATTTAATGTAATGTATCCCGATACATAGTAAAGGAGAAATCCTCATGTCTGCCACCGAGATCCCGTGGCTTAAGGGGGGGGGGGGGGGGGTCACATATGTCAAATTTTAATAAAACTTCCGACTTTCTCACTATATTGTGACTCCTTTATTTTGAACCCGACGGGAAAAGTGTATGAGACTTTTTTGTACAGCTCACCAAGACACTTTTTTTGTATTTAACATTTTTTGCTATGGGGCTTACTTTTCAAGAAAAGTGCAAATTTAAAAAAAATTATAAAATAAATAGTTTTTATATGATTATATTTTATATTATATCGTATATTTCAAAATTTTGGAATGACTAGCTTCTACCGTCAACGATTTACGTTAATTGGCGTACTACCATGGATACAATAAACAAAACAATATCTGCATTCGTCCATTGCCTACTATTGAAAAACCGTAAAAAATAAGGTTTTTATTTTTGGAAAATTGACGTATGAATAGATGCAGGGTCTTCTAATTAAAAACTCACAAAAGAACTGTGAACTTTTCCGTGAACGATTCTGATGTCCCGCTAGGAATAATTTTTATCTGTATTGGATTTTGGACTATCTGACATAGTAAAGTGGCAACCGCGTTTTTTTAAAAAATGGCCTAATTTGTTTTTGCAAGATATGTAACTTATTTTTGAAAATGTCACAAAAACAACAAATAGACCCAATTTAATTTAAGTAATTGTCCAAAGTTGTGCTTTTTCAAAAGGGACAAGTATTTTTTTAATGCCATTCAGCTCGGATTTTTTTGCAAAAACGACAGTACAAACGTTGTTAGGTTAGTAGGTATAAGGGGTTGGTCACAGCTTATTTTAGGGTACAAAGATTTCCGTCATTCCTTAAAAATGGTCACCATTTCCCTTAATTTTCCCAAACATTTCTAACTTTAAATTTTCACTTTATTTCTATGTCCTATAGATTTCCTTTGAGATTTCCTCAGAATTTCCCTTAGAGTTTTCCCATTCCTTTGAAATTTCTTCGTATTTCCCCAAAATGTTCTAATATTTCTCCAGAATGTCCTCTAATTTCGTCCATTTCCTATATATTTCCCAGCTATTTCCTCCAACTGTCCTAGACGAGGGCAAGAAATTTCATTATGATTAACCCCTCAAGTTAGTATTTGTTTAATTTGAAAAAGCACCACTTGTGGTAGAACTCGAAAACCGTGCAGTATGGGAAAAAGAAAAAATTCGATTATAACTTCGATTCTTTATCTTTTATTTGAGAGACTGCAGTGTATCTCAGCTGTTTTTACAGATAGAGACGAGGATAGAGACACGGTTTTTGAAAAACTGTTCCACTTTTTTGTGAAACTTTTAATACTTACCACAAACAGAATCAATCTAGACATGTCTGACGAATAAAAAGCTAATTGGGGTTCATGTGAAGAATGTTCGTCAAGTAGCCTGGTAACTAGCTGAATGTTTGTAACACATTGAGCTTTTACATTTGGCTTAGATTAAAGAAACTTTCGTTTTGCTAGCCAGGTACTACCAGCTTTGAGGCCATGATGGTGGTGTATATCTATGCAAACAACCTACAAGGAGGCTCTGGTTTTGAAAATATTTTACGTTTCTACTTCCACCTCTACAGTCTGTTTCAAATTAAGTCTGCACTATTATTGCTGAAGTGAAGGTTTGTAGGGTGAATAGGCTCAAAAAACCAGGCTTCGTTGAGTTTATTTTTAATTATTGCTAGTGCACTTTAACGCTCTTGATTTGTCTGTCCGTCACAAACGCTCTGGAACTGCACTACTTACAGACTTTGTATTGGTGTCATTCGATCAGAAATGAAAAATTATTTCATGTTTGTATTCTCATTAAGGCATGAAATGTCCATAAGTGCTATTCAAATCGAAAAAACACTGAATCCAAATCTGTAATTTAAAAAAAAAAAAAACAACATCGCATATTTCAGATAACCAAAATGTCACTTTTATATGGAACACCCTGTATATTAAAATAATAACAATAATCAATATTTATTATAATACATACAATATTACTACACCATATGATAGATTATTAAATTCGCTACAAAAGTTCTTAACGCAACATTTTTATGGATAACTAGATCGAAATGAAACTAATCGAAAAATCTTGGTATTTTGACTATGGTGCATTAAGAACTTTTGTAGAGAATTCAATAAGCTGTCATAATGTGATGTAAAAATATACAGGGTGTCCATATAAAAGAATCACATTTTTGTTCTTATTTGAAAAATGCGATGTTGTCTTGTTTTTTTTGAATTGCAAATTTGGATCCAATAGGAAAAAATAGACAATTTGAATAATTTAACCATCTTTCTAACTCTACAACTAAGAAAGTTAGCAATATTGCCGACTTAATTTGAAACAGACTGTATATAGTTAAATGACTCAAAATTTGAAATTCAAAACCAACCCTAATTTTACGTTACAGAGAAGATGAAGGAATTGAGTTACAAGTCTTATCCAAAAAAAATGTTGAAGATACGTCGCAACCTAATCGATCTTTAGCCAACATCGAATCTGGGGTTGTTCCTACAACCGACGCAGACAGTTTAGAGTCGGGAGAGTTTCAACAATTAGAAGTGGCCAACTGTAAAAGTGGCAGTGTCATAGGTATATAATGAACAAATTGTCGCAAAATTATTTATTCAAAATTAACTTTTAGATCTGAAGGCAGAAGTGCATCATAAAAACTCATCAGAAAGCAGCGAAGAATTAGCTATTCAACCTATAATTGAAGTGCTACCTTACCAGTCTGAGGTTCGCGACCATGACAACGTATCTCATAGTAACCAATCGAAAAAATTAAAAAGAGATTCTTCGTTTGTTTTGCCCAGTATTGATGATGAAGTAAAGTGTAAGAGGTCAAACTCTCACAAATTGCAACGACACTTCAGTGGAGACACCCAGGACTCCGGCCTGCTTTTAGAACGTCATCGTCCTTCATTTCCGAACGTCGTTTCGGAACACACCAGTCCGAAATTAGTACGCACCTCTCGTCGTCACTCGAATTTTACCAACAGCAGCTTCAGTTTCATTCCTAATAGTACAAATAATATGAAACCTACGGGTTCGTTGGAATTGGGCTACATCGATCAAAATCCCAATCAAATGCTGACGTGCGAAGGTTTCTATTTTAAGCCTAACGTTAATAGGCGCGGCGGAGTCCGACGGATACGCTCGACTGCTTTAGAAACGTCCTGCCCTCCTCCGGTTTTAACAATCCATCCGAACAGTTTAGAAATTCTCGGTTGTAATACTACGAAAACAAAAAATCCTCTACCTCCCCCCAGTTCGACTTTGGTCCGAAATCAGCACTTAAATTTATGCCCGTATTACGGTTCCGAAATTGTATATCCCATAGCGGAGCAATCAGACGAGCATCAAACATCTCACGGCCCGGATTCTGACTTGGACTCCTTGCCTCGGAACTCCGATTCGGATTACGACGAGAATAACGAAGACAGTCACTCCTCGCTATTGGTTCGTCTTCACCATGTCGATAGTGTTAAAATGATACGCGCCGTGCGGACTTTGCCTCACGCCGACAAAGATCTATGCCATTTACGTGAGTACTTTCCGAAGGACTCGGAGAAGTGTGATCTAAACTCTAGCTGCAATTTAAGTGTTTCCTCAAATAAGAGCGACGATATCGATAGGACTAGCGCCACATCGAAAGATGCTCTATTAGATAATAACGATAATTCAAATTCCAGTGCCACGCCCGAGATGCAGGACGCGCGGACAGATTGCTACGCTACCGATAACGAGTGCAGTGATAAAAAACTGAGTGATTCGAATACGTCGGAGAGTAGTACTAGTGTAGAATGTGAAGAAAGTGTCTTAGAAAAAGGTGATATGAGTCGCAGTTCAACAGTAAAACTTAAATCTAGTGATAAAGAAATCGATAATCCGTATTTAGATTGTAAAAAATTTTTAGATGACATTGATCTTACCGAGAGTAAGTACTTGGAAACGAAAAATGAAGTGCTCGTAACGAATTTCGACGAAATTACGAACAGCGTGAAACGGCGAAATAGAAGGAACAGAAAACGTAAGTGTAGCAGCTGTGGTAAGCCCGAGGACGGGGGTACTAGATCCAGTTTAGTCGAATTGGATCTAGATTTGCTTTTCGACGATGAGAACGATCACATCAGCCGCAGATCAATGGAGAGACACAAGCGTGATGACTGGTCCAGTAGTACAACTGTGTCGCTAGAGCACGACGTTAGCAAAGTCCTGCAAGAACCAGCACCTTCAACGCGAAATTTGGGTAAGTCTCTGTGATTGAGTCTGTGGCTATGGGGTGATGTCTAAGTTAATATTAATTGACAGGCGGCATTGCATATTTGTGTTGGTTATCGTAAGGTAACAAAAACTGATTTTTCAGCTTTTGATTTGGAAAAAATGTTAGATTTTCACACTTATTGCCAGTTTTGGGGAAAACTGTCACTGCTTATGAAGGTTCTTTCCAATCAACGAACCAAAATACCCCATTTCCTTTGTTTGGATTCGATTCGTATCAATAAATACAATACAAAATCATTTTCATCCAAATGGTACTCATAGGTCGATTTCTTTAGGAATATTAAAATCAATTCCAACAATATGCAATAATATGCAAACTCCAAGGCAAACCTTAGACCATATAGTACATGGACTGCTATTCGCCCTATGCTTTCAATACAAAATGGGTGGTCATGGATAGAGGGCACTGTAGTCGTGGGTATATGAATCTCAGGGTAAACTAAAGTCGTGTAAACACCACCCGGATCGCGTAAAGAGTAGCTTTTATAGTAATCGCGTAGTACGGGAAGCTTTAATTACTCTTGATTATCTTCTCTACGTCCACAAATAAGAACAGGTTTGGTTTTTTTTGCATATCTAGGCCATTAATTAATTGACGTTTGTTAATTTATAGGTTGACAGTCTCAAATCGTATCTAATCGGACAACCTCGGACAGAGTCGTTTACCCTGAAACTCACATACCCAGGCGATGTCCTTGACCATATTTTAGTTACAATTAGCAGTCCATGTACTATATGGTCTAAGAGGCAAACTCATAAAAACAATTGACCGCTACTTGATACAAATTTAAAATAATAATTACAGTAAGTACCTAATTAACGTGGATGAGATTCCTTTCAAGTTACAATTGGCAGAGCAATTGGCCTTATCTCTCTTTGGAAAGTGCTGCTCCCGTTAGAAAACTGGAAACAGGTCGCTTCGATGGTACAGTTGACTCTGTGATGAATAAAAAAGAAAAATTTATATTCCTCCATGTTGATTTTAGTTTTGCCTAAATTATTATCTAGGTCTTGTTGCGGGTGAATTCACTGCGGTATGCCGTTGTATACCTACAACATTTTATTTATCGCACATCACTCAAGAAGAAATTGGTTCTCACCAGCCGTGACTGTTAGCTATCCGAAAAAACTTCTTTATCACAATGAGTTTTAATGTCAGTTTATTTTACTCGCGCTTTTTTACTTGGGAAGCGGATCTGGGGCTCGAAAATATCCTTTGCGCAAATTTCATTACTCGTAAATGAACGATCTTGCTACGAATCAGCGCTGCTAAACAGTTTTTCCTTGTCCTGGAATTTACTGCACACATGTAAAATTCGTCGCGAACCCGAGATTGTTTAAATGTTTCCCGACAACATACCCGAAATTTATGAGTTCTCGCTATTTAACACGTTTTTACCCGAAGTTAAACTGCTAATTCTCTACTACTACTCAGATAGATTTCACCCAATAAATGCACTTTCCGGGTCTTGAAATCGCACCACGCATCTTCCCACATACGCGAAAAAAAATCGGTAGAAAAATTCAGTCTTACTGCTTTCGCTATTTGAAACTCACCCGGTAGAAATACGGAAACGGGCCTTCGTTTCTTAACGCAACGACCTCGACTAGCGTATGGTTAGTGCATTTTTGTCACGTGCTCGGCTTTAAACAGAACTGAACGAAACATTTATGTCTCAAGAGAGAGTGGCAACCGCGCACATTTTCCGCAATACGTTTCTTGTTATCGCCAGACATACTTTAGTTCACGTTCGCTATGAAGCGGTACATGCGGACATTTTCCTATACTGAACAAAATACAAATTCAAACAAAATACTTTTTTTAATTTTTAAGCGATCACTCTTACACACATCGGAAACTGCTCTTTGTTTAGGAATGTAGGATCTAGCCACACAATTAGCAAATGATAAAAAAAAAAGTAAAATTACTCGGCTCTATTCAAGGGTGTAGTTTGCCTGAGAAGTGTAACATTTCCCTAAATCAGTACACGTCTTTAAAGCATACTAGTATCTTTTCATAATTTAGAGGATTAATTATTTACTTTTTGGTACTTTGATAGTTTTTGGTATTTTTTATACTTTTTGATCATTTTTAATGTTTCTACGCCTCTGAACCACAACGTTGTATAAAGACGAAAGCCATGATACTAACCGTGAACGAACTCACATTCCGCCATTCTTCTTTATTGTGCTACACGCGTTTTGTTGTTTTTCTTTATTTAGTGTTTCTATTTTCTGTTTTTAACGAGGTTTTTTTTTGAATGAGGAAATGGCGTAGAAGAAGCCCTGATAGCAGGAGGAAAGAAAACGGAGGCGATTTACGCTACTCGGAGAAGTTGGAACATGTCTCCGAAACGAGGTAGCGATCAATCTGCGGAAAAATTCCTAGTGAGCTGAAATTTTGTATACACCATTATTACGGCATTTTAATGAATATGTGAAAAATCGACATTGATATCGTGCCGGCTAAAAAAGTTATAATTAAGACTCCTCTGTAGTCAATCCGCCATATTGAAAAAAATGGCTAAACGTTATTATGAAATAATAATAATAATAATAATAATAGCCTTTATTCCCCATAGGTCTCATATCAAAATTTCACATATCAAAATATAAAAAAACGATTATAGTTATTCATAACAATAAAGAAAAACTTCTAAATTAATGATCAAATGGCAAGATAAGAACTAGAAAAGGAAAAGAAGAAGAAGAAATTTAGTAGTACGTATTTATGAGGAATCACACGGTGCCAATTCAAATTAGTAGTTAAACCTACCATTGGTCTTCCATTGGAGCCGTGAAAAAAGATAAGAATAGCAAGGTGAAAATATGCCTATTCTAACTTAAACTAAAATTCTGAGATGTTAGGTCGGCGTCGGAACTAATTTGCAAACAATTATTTGTAATTTATCTTTATGTGACTGATGAATTGATGATGTTATTATGCGTCATTTTGAAGATGTAATAAAGAACGGAACACTTTTTTTTGAAGAGAGGAAGAGATGAAGCTTTGAGTTCAGCTGATAAGTTATTATAGACTTTATAAATTTGGTACTGAAAGGTGCGTTCGTATAGGGCAGTGGAATGCTTTGGTGGAGAAATTAAACCGCGGTATCTTAAATTTATATTATGAACATCTGTTCTAAAGCGGATTTTATTAAAGAGATAAGCTGGTGTCTTTGTGGTCAGTACTTTGTGGCAGAGTGTTGCAAACTGAAGTCTTCTTCTATTGCTCATATTCAGCCAGCTCAAATCACGCAGTTTATGCGAAATGCGTTCGAATTTACGTATACCATAAATCATTCGCATGCAACTGTTCTGTACTCGCTGAATGCGTCGTACCGTATCTTGCTTTATAGACGACCAATATAGCTCGGAGCAGTAATTGAAATGCGATAATACAAGAGAGTTACACAACAAAGCTTTTGTTTTTATTGGTAAAGATTTCCTATGTGGATATATTAACTTTAAATTGATTAAACTTTTCTTGAGGTACATATTGATTTGAGTATCGTATCTAAACGAATTGTCCATGTACAAACCTAAGTTTTTCACTTCGGTTTTAATCGGTATGTTTGTGTCGTTCAAAAAAAAATTTGCATGCTGGTTGATGGCTCGGATATTATCAGTATTTCCAAAAAATATTATTGAAGACTTCGCCGGATTTATGAACAGTGAATGCATACGTGAGACAGCTTCGATTGAACGTAGATCATCATTTATATTACGAACAGCAGCTATGGACTCATCCACGCGAAATGAATGTAGGATTTGGGTATCATCGGCGAACAAATGCTGCTTTTGTAGTTGCAGTCTAACAAATTCTCGATAGTGGATATTCTTTGCAATGATAAAAAGAACGGCGGTACTTAAAAAAAGTTGAAATATCAGTCTTAGTTTTTTTTAGGAGGATCGATGAATGGAAAAATCGTTTTTCGTAAATAACAGCCGTTGTAATGGGAGTAGAAAAACGTACAGCACCAATTTGAAAATCCGACAGTATTTCCTACGGCGGTACTTAAAGATATTATTTCCACCTATTACGATCATGCAAAAAATATGTATCGCGATCTTCAGAAAAAAATTATCAAAGTCCTCGTGTGAGATCGAAGGGACTTCAGCGCATTTTTGTGTGGCAGATCAGTGTTTTATTAGCCAATATTGACTCCACCATCAATAAGATCTTGCCGAAAGCTACCACGTTCACTTTGTCGGTACCATTTTCTCACTTACCGTGCACTCGCAATTCGCGTTTGAAGTTTTGACTCCACCATCAGTAAGATCTCGTCGGGGGTTACCACATTCCCTTTGTCGATACACAGTTCCGACGTCCCGTTCATTCGTAATTCACATTTTGGTAGATTTCGCTAAAATCCCGGCATAAAATCGTATTCAACTTTTGGGTACTTCACATAGCTCGACCTTCTATTAGTGACACGAGAAAGAGAGACCGCGATTCGCGCTGTAAGAAACTTTTGGGCGCCCAAAGTCGACTACCCCTCGAAGCGCGCCGCGCAAAAGGTGGTTTATTTCGCCCCTAGGAAACAAAAACAAAATTCCGCCACGCAGGAGTTGTGCGCGTTGACAAGATCTTCCCGACGACACCAATTTGAAAACAATCGGAGAAAAACTGTAGAAGAAGATAGATAAAAACTGAAAAATCTCCAGGTTAGTATAATACGCTCGGGGATGGCGTCCAGATGTCGTCGACTCCAAATCTTGTAGCCCCATCCCTAACGTTCTTAATTACACGGCCCCGATAGTTACATGTACACTCCTTGTCTTTTTACAAGCGTTTTTCTACGGGCGCGCATTTACTGCCAGCCAGCCAGCCAGCCAAAGTGAGATTAAAAGCTACTTTTTACAAAAAAAAATTTTTGCAAAAATGCGCTAAAAATCAAAATGCTAACGTAAGGATAGGCAACTCAAATTGCACTGTAACTCCTGAGGCGACAACTCATTACTTGAAAGGGAAAACAAAAGAAACTAACGGGCGATCAAAAATGAGTTGCTGTCGAGTCGCCTTTGGAAGTTCAAGTTAATTACGATTTTCCATGTAAACAAAAATTTCAAAGGTGACTCGACAGCAACTCATTTTTGATCGCATAGTACCTGACATTATCCTGCACTCCTGCACATTGTTACGCCGTTCCTAATGATGTGGATTAAATAAATTACTATATAATTAGCCAATGTTCATGAATGCTGTTGATTTGTGAATCATAAATGGCACATAACTCCCAAGACGAAAAGTGCACTAAATGCATATTTATTGTAGGTACATGGAAATAATTTTTGATTTCTAAAATATTTTTCATTCTATCAGGATGCTTCAAGAAATTTGTTTAGGAAGGTTTTTAGCTAAACCCCTAGGCGGAATACGACTGTACCAGTAATTAGAAGGATTTTTGCCGCAAATTTGTTTTTGTGTAAAAATGTGGCACCGTTTTGATTTTTTGGACGAACGCTTGACCACCACACAAGCGGGAAGCGCAATATCGCAATTCGTAAACACTACTACTGAGTAGAGACTTGAGAGACAAGTGCTACTTATTTTTTTAATATGATTAGATATCAGGAATATCCGCTTATCAAAAAAATAAAGGAATGACAAATTTCGATTTTTGCAAATAAATTGGCGACAAAGTTGCGCCCAATAGATAACAAATGACACACAGGCATTTTTTTCGGCTATTAGCGGAACATAAACATAGGAAACGTCGTGGTATATTATACAATAACAGAAACGATACCGATATAGATACAGTCTGCGTAGTTTTCTAAATTTGATGTCCTTTTTTATTCTTGAGAATATTAGAAAACGGTTTTTACATTCTGAGTCTACCATTTCAAAGAATTCGATTGCACTTCTTCATTTTAACTGTTACAAAAAATGTTCCAATTCCCCTTGTTAGCTAAATTTCTAAGCGGGATACGATAACTAATAGGCGACACTAACAAGTTTATTTAAAAAAAGTGTCATTGTTTTGCTCATGTCAAGTCAAGGTAGCAAGACATCACGAAAATGATATTTGCATCAAAACAAGGGCGAAATTTTGGGTTTTCCCGGTAATTAGTGGAGGGTAAAAAAAATTCTCCCACTTTAAAAAAAATTCAACTATTTATTTTTTCCGTTTGAGAATATGATGGAATCCCGCAAACTTCACATCAACTTAGCGAATATGAACTGATATCATCTCGGATCTTGCATCTCAGAAAATAGAGAATCAACCGTGGTATCAACAAATTTTACAACTGAATTCTCAATTTAGGACAAAAAAGCGAAATCAACTTGCCGCACAAAAGATGTTCAGAAAAATTCTACATGGGTTGTGAATAAATATAAATAAGTATAACGCTAAATGTACAATTATTATTTTTTGAAAAGATAATTTATTTGAAATTCGGTATATGTTATACTTTTCATCATTGTAACAGAATTTTAAATGTTAGCTACCATTTTTATTAAAAAAAAAATACATTTTTTGTTGTTCACCCTTATACCTATATAAGAAAATAAAGAGATTTATTTTCGGTGTTCGAAGTGCCGGTTTACTGAATTCATTCATGCACATGTCTATCTAATAACTATAAAAATCTATAAGTCAGTAAAATTGATTAGAACAAATCATAGGAAATAAAGGGGTAATTAAAAATGTTAACAAACAATGCTAATCTAGTCCACTAATGACCTAAGAACCAGGTAATTTATAGAAGGTGTCATAGAAAAATGCAGTAAATGCATTGAATAAGTAATTTACCTCGTAATTTACTCAATAGTAAAAGAAATAGGTAGTGCATCTCCAGTTAAATATTGTACACCTTTTCGATAAACTTGTTTACATAATTAGTCCTTGATCAATATACATGGTCTATTGTGTTTAACAATAAATGAAGAGAATATGCAAAACTGGAAAGGATAGAGATACATAGTTGGTCTCACCCAAGGAGTAGGTAGGTACATCGTCTAGAGATGTGTATTGTTGGTGATCTAACCAATTGAAATAACATTGAAATATAAATTGACTACAGAAGAGCCTTAAAGGTCAAAAGGTCGCGAAAATCAGTTTTTGGCGAATATCTCGGGACCTATTGCTCGGAGGACAATAGAGGTTATTACAAAAATTGTTCATCGTGCAATTATGTATAAAAATATATATGACTCTTGCATTTTTCTGTAGGATCAACCGTTTTTTGCAGTAGAGCGCTGAGAAGACTACTAGAATGCAATCATATACATACGGTAGGTACCTATTGTATATCGTCATTGAATAAATATTAGGTACTTATTCAATGATATCGTACACCAAGGCGTAAACTTGGTTGCTTTTTATTCATGTTTTTAAGTATATTATTATTATTAGTCATGAAGATGCTTGAAAAAAGACCTGATTTAAACAATTCTGCAGAATGTGCAAATGTGGATGCACAAAAATTGGTTTGAGATGCTCTAAAGTTTGAGCATATCGACATTGAATGAATAAAAAATAATTACGTACAAAAGTTTATTGTTTTTCTATTTATCACTTATAATTGCACAAGAGGTTTGTATTTTAGCGACAATTCAACTCATGTATAAAAAATCACATAAGCCGCAGTGTAATTGTCACTTTGACAGAGGCAAAAGTTACCTGCAACTTTTCCAGCGACAAATGCACTAGTGGTTTTTTCACTTATTCATTTTCGAACCAATAATCGCATTATCCTTACCCATATGAGTAGTTTGACGTCTGTCAATAATTGATTAGTTTGGTGAATTTCTTGTTCGTTAAATTGTCCTGCCGAATTACACTCGAGGTTTGTATTTAAACCGAATAAATTTGGGTTGTGGCAATTCAAATCTGTTTCCTTTTAGCAATTGGACTCGAAAAACTGTCAACCTAAAAATGCTCCACCTGCGGGGTCGCATTTTTATTAGTTGACAGTTTTTCTCGTCTAATTGCTAGGCAACAGATTTTCATTACCTAAACAACCCAAATTTACTCGGTAAAATACAAACCTCTTGTGCAATTATAAGTGAGTAAATTTGGGTTGTTAAGGTAATGAAAATTTGTTGCCTAGCAATTAGACGAGAAAAACTGTCAACTAATAAAAATGCGACACCGAAGGTGGAGCATTTTTAGGTTGACAGTTTTTAGAGTTCAATTGCTAAAAGGCAACAGATTTGAATTACAACAACACAAATTTACTCGGTTTAAATACAAACCTCGAGTGTAATTCGGCAGGACAATTTAACGAACAAGAAATTCACCAAACTAATCAATTATTGACAGACGTCATCTAGTCATATGGGACAGGATAATACGATATTTGGTTCGAAAATGAATAAGTGAAAAAACCACTCGTGCATTTGTCGCTGGAAAAGTTGCAGGTAACTTTTGCCGCCGTCAAAGTGACAATTGCACTGCGGCTTATGCGATTTTTTATACATGAGTTGAATTGTCAATTTTAAATAAAAAATTCGTCACTCAAATAAAAAAACCTGTTATTACAAATCATGGATTATGTCTACAGGGGAACCCATGTAAAAAAATACCCGATTTGCATTCTACCACAGTGGTGGTGCGGAATCGAGTGCCTAATCATAATTCAGCCGCATTTTCAGAGCTCTACTCCAAAAATTGTTCATCTTACAGAGAAATGCAATAAGAGACATTTTTTACAGATAATTGCACAGTAAATAATTATTTGTAATAACCTCTATTGTCCTCCGAGGAATAGGTCGCGAGATATTCGCGACCTTTTGACCTTCACAACTTTTAGCCGGCACGATATCAATGTCGATTTTTCACATATTCATTAAAATGCCGTAATAAAGGAGTATACAAAAATTCAGCTCACTAGGAATTGTTCCGCAAATAAAACCTATTATGACTGGACTATTAAGCATGTTGGCAAGCTTTTATTTCATATAGACAGATCTGTCTTCACTTTTACAAAAGTTAATGCAAGTAATTTGTCATTATATTTATTCTTTAAGAAGATATCTGACCATTGTGCAAGAATATATCTGGGGGCGAATTTGGTGATTTTAATTTCTCTTGGAAATAAAGTAGTGATCATATTCACATAGTTCAAAGCTCTATGGTTATGTACTTTACTGACAAAACCCAACGCTTCTATGGCGCTCGAAAGCTTTCAAAGTCTTCTGGGACGAATTTGTATGACCATGGCCAACTTAAATTGTTCAATAGTATCAAATGGTATGTTACCCCACACTGTTGAATGTTTGACCTGTCACACTTTTTCATCACAAAGGATCATCGCATGGTAACCAACACATAAATATTTTAGCCATCATCTAAGTGCCCCTTCACACTGGGCGACTTATCAGTCGCCTTAACCCGCGACGCAGTCGCACGTTTAGGGAATTCGTCTCGCGATTGGATTTGAACGTGCAACTGTGTCGCGGGCTAAGGTGACTTCGTCGCGCAGCCAGCAGCTGCGTCCCATCCCGCTGCTTGTAGCGCTGCTAAGTCACCCAGTGTGAAGAGGCATTAACTGTATTGCTAAATAGTGTTATATATTTTTTTTTTATACAGGAGCTATTCCAAAGAAGTGCATGTCCGCTAATTACCACCATGAAAGAGAAAGGCCAAGAATAATAAGTGCCCTTGCTAAAAGCGAATCGGAGAAAACGAACAGAAGGAAGCATGACAAATATCTTGATAACAGAAACGCTCACCGAAGCAGATCAATAAAAGAAAATAAATTAACACAAACTCTACGCCAAACGGAAAACGTCGTGGAAGGCCTAGAATGTTTGGTAATTCCGACGCACGCGCCCGCTCGTCTCCGAAAACTAAGTGTCACCCGTAGAAGTAATTTAAAAATGATCAAACCGTCGACCGACTGTTACCAAGAGGCATCGTCCAGTAGTTCCAATAACGAACTAAGCACACTGTTACCCTCCAATCCGCTTCTCTCCGCCTTTTTAGCAAGTAGACGTGATGCTCCCGCCATCTGTGTTTCATTACCAGCGCGAGACAGTACGAGACTGGATAAACGCGCGTCTTCGTGTCGACAGGGTCGCCTGAAACGAAATACGAGGGTACATCGGAGAGCTTTGCATAGTTCTCACCCGAATCACGAGACGAAATCTAATCAACGCGATTTGGCGATAGCAAGCACGATATCGTCCGGCCACGGAACGCATCGTGCCAAATCGTTTGAAGATACTTCGCACGGTTCGGTGCATTGTTTCGTCGACGAACATGGGAATTGGATTACGTACACGTTTGATGAAAAAAGTGTAGGTAAGTAAATTAATTGAGTTTTTGATCTTCAATCTTTCATATACTGGTCAATACTGGTATAGTAATTGCTTATTCTGCACTACTGTGCTATAAGCACATAGTGCTATAGCATTTCTACAATATTTTCGATTGAATGCCTCATATAATTATGATCGATTTTCAGGTAAGCTCAATTGAACATTGATTTTTTCTAGTGATGCAACACTGACCTCTGCTTCCGCACTTAAGTTCTGCATATTTTTTCGCTTCCATCTCCAATTCTGCTATTTGATAACGGAAGTATACCGGAATTTTTAAAACATGGTTCTGATTGGCCGACAGGGACCACACGACGTGAGACACGGACGAGCCGGCCGTTCACGTATCGCGACTTTAATTCATCTCGTCACTTCATCGCAACAATTCTTGCGTTGTGTCGCCGCACATTTTAATAAACTGAATTTTTATGACTAGTTTTGATCAAATTTGTAATAGTATTTACGCTTCCGCAAAACACATGTTGTCTTCTGTTTCCGCTTCTGCTTCCGTTATAACACTTCCGTGGCACCACTAATTTTTTCTCCCAAAGGTGTTTAAAAAGCTTTCTATTGCTTACAACTATCCTCATTCGTAATTATTGATTGCAGGCACTGCCAATGCAAATTTGCCATTGCCAAACTACAACAGCGGAAAAATTTTAAGCACCTTACTACGGCAAAGGGAGGCCGCGACGAACTCACGAGGCGCTAACCACCGAGGTTCCAGCGATATTTGGGACAGTAACAGTACGGAATCAATTTACAACAGTTCGGTGTCGATAATTCTGGACAACGCCACAAGGCAACCCCTACCCTCCGCGACAAACAGTATGATTCCTACCAGCAACACCTTACGGATAAACGCGGAACCGTTACGACATAGATTTTACACGAATAATTTAAGTGATAATACGATCATAGAAAATTTACGAGAGGTCTTCCCAAGTACGAATACCGACATCAACGTCGAAATGCAGGTGCCGAGGAATCGATTCCGCTACATTCAAGCGACGGACGCCGCGAATAACAATTATTCTAGGACAAAATCGTACTACAAGTTTAAAGTGTTTCCGTGGACGTTCATAAAAATTAGTTTGGACCGCTTGAACCTGCTAGCGTTGTTAGATCGTAACCTTACGCTAGGAGAAACTTTATTATCTACCTTTTTAGGTATTCTAGTCTCAGTTTTTGGTGCTGTTTTACTTTATTTAGATTTTTATCACGATTTACTCGCTTTGGTATTTTGCATTGTGATGTGCAGTTGTCAGTATTCGCTGTTGAAGAGCGTGCAACCGGATGCGGCGTCGCCTACGCACGGTTTCAACAGGGTAATCGCGTACTCCAGACCGATCTATTTTTGTTTGTTGTCGTCTATCATTTTAATTTTACACGCGAGTATAGCGCACGAATCTTACGATACTGCATTTACAGTGTACGGTGTGAATTTTACCAATAAGAACATATTGGTTTGTATTCGTGAGTTTATAGTTAATTTTATGTTGTTTTTTCCTGTTATATTTTCACTCGGATTGTTTCCCCAAATTAACACGTTTTCAATGTATGTTTTGGAACAAATTGACATGTTTATGTTTGGCGGTAATGCGATGTGCAGTTTGTCGGCGTCTATTTATTGCGTATTTCGTTCACTTATGGCTGTGATAGTTTTGTACGGATTAGCATACGGCGGTTTAATAGAAGCTAAATCTTCTCAACATATTCTATTTTCTATGTTCTGTGCTTGCCTGATAGCAATGTCGTACCATTTAAGTAGAAGTGCGAGTGATTTCTCACATATTTGGAACATTATCAAGA